AGGACCTCCACGTGGTCGGATGGATGACGAACCCCAACGAGCGTGCCGTAACTATCGCTATCATGGGGGTATGCCATAAATTCCGAAACCTCCTTCTCAAGACTCGACCTCTTACCGGCTATGCCGCCACCGGTCAAAAGTTCACCTTCGACGTTGAACGTGACACTCTTTTGGTCCATGGTATGAACATTCCGGACTTCCTCAAGACCCCCCAGCTTCCCAACCTTCATGGCGTCCGTCGGCTCGTGTCCCATCTCCCTTATACAATTGGGTGGGGTTCATACGATTACCTGCAGAGAACAATGCGAGGTATGCGGCACCCGTGGGCTATTGATGCAATGGCCCATGATCCACTTGATACCGCTTATGAGGAGAGCCTACCATTCGAAACAAGCTTTACCGTCGCCCAAGAGCTAGGATCTCTTTGGTAGATTGGTCTTGTCATTGAGACTGCTCCAGGGTGGTATATCGACTCTTTTCAGCAGTTTGGCCCCCAGCCGCAACATCGACGAACTGCTGGGAGTCTCGGGCAGCCTATTCACCATACAGGACTCCGTTGGACCAATCATAGTTTTGAACACTACCAAGATCGTTACGAGATCCCGATGATTGGCCTACACGGATACAGCAAGACTCGTCGTGACCGACGCAACCCGCGTCAGCAAGAGTATTCTCAGGGCGGTCAATGGGCTGGCTTTCGTGTCTACCTCGCGATGCAGGAAGTTGAATTCCGACCACTCACTTGGGATGAAGTCGAACATCTTGTTCACCAACCGAAGCAGCCAGAGAACGTACGAAAGTTCCGGCAAGCCCCGGACCCCGAGTTTGTGTCTCGAATCTAGATTATTCGGGACCAGACCAAGGAGCTTCCTGGCGGAGCGTACGGATGGATCAAGGTCAAAGAGTATAATGCTGCGACTGATGAGCTTTGGGTCAAACAGGTAGCAACCACTTGGAAGATGGTTCACGCGAGCCTTCATCAACCTGGGGATGATATCGAAGACTATATTATCGGTCCCCATTGACCGACCGAGATCTTTGACTGTAGCTATGAGTCTTACGACGTGTCGAGGCCCATGGCGAGATGAAACGACAAGCAGGCGCATTGTGCTACAGGCTTGGGAGATGAGAAATGTATGAGTTGATGAAAAAGAGCAACGGACATTTACACGACACGACCGACGGGGACCTTTTGTCCTCCAACTCTAGCAATTTATCACTTATGTGAACTCACATTACTCTTTGAGACGACTCACAAGATATGGCAGCCATTATGGTTATGAGAAGATTGGTCCAAAGTGTTGCTTGTATGGATTTTGGGAGAGTGGAGAAACTTTGGACAGGAAGGAAAATTGAGCAAATAAAAGACAGGTATTTAGATCAGTCTATAGTATTGACAGTAATGCCTAACCTTGTGTCTTCTCCTGTGAAGATGTTGCTATTGATATAAGCCAGATCCTCGCTCGTAAGCAAGAACATGGTCGATAGGTCAAAGCATTTAAGCCAAGCTCGAGATGCATCTTGCTGCTTTTACTGCTGCTGCTTCTGTTGTTGTTGTTGTTGCCGTTGTAGACGTGTGTGAGACATCCTGACCGGCAGCCTTGTGGATCTCGCGCCGCAACTCTAATATGCTATCAATTCCGGGATCTCTCGCCTTCACCAGTCCATCAAGAAGCCCTCATATGTGTCCAGATTCTGAGCGACATGATGTTTTCTTTCACAGCTCGTATTCCCCTGCGTCATGGCCTCTGCATGATGTTCCTGGCTAGACATGGGCTGAGACCAGATAACACGACACGATCTTTCAGAATCATTCTGTAACATAGACAAGATTCGAGAATATCCTTGGGTTTTAGTTCAGGCCCACGTGCACTAACGGAAACAAGCCTCAAAGGGAGCCAGAGTTACCGCAGCGAGATAACTTGAAATATAATCTAGTTAAATACAAAACCTACTTGAGTTTTGGTTCATGGCGCTCATAAGACTGTCCCCAACGAGTTTCAAGCTGAGATTTCAGAAAGCTCGGGTATTTCGAGCTGATGTTTGCATGTTCTATTGATCCTCTTCGTGCGTTGTAAATTCTCCCCAGGGGATTCGGTCCCTTGCACGTACTGCTGCAGTATGAGGGAAGCATCGCCGGGATGATGATCTTTGACGACAGGAATGTTTGATGATGATCTCACTGATGATGATGGAAGACGGATGAGAAATAGGATATTGGGTACTGGACGTGTGATCCGCAGCCTCTGTGCGGTTCAGGGCGCTCCCAGTTGTCAACTCAGCCCGCTATCGAACCGCGTCGCCAAGCGACGTCTGTGTCTGCATCGTGCAAAAGGCCATTCAAGTGTTCGGTTTGACCCGCGTTGGTGGTTAATAGTGGGCCAAATAGCTCCTTCAAAGTCCAATCCTTGCTCTGTTTGGGACCCGTGTCGTGCCCTGTCTAGGATCTAAATGAGGTTATAATCATGATAGTAAAGAGGTTTGGTTGAAATATACTCGTACCCTGGCGGTGGGTTCTAAGACGATGCGAGGGCTGGAAAAAGCCCTTTTGACCTTCAAACTTGATCGGTGATATGTGACTTTGAGTTGATAGACCTGACAG